ATATTTATCTAACAAATTGTATTCGCATATGTACTAAGTAAATCAAAACCATTGGTCATTATTAAATAGATGAAGGCATGTACATTCTTACCAAACGAATTTAGAAAATCTGTGATGCGTTTTATGCTGGCTGTTATAACTTCAATGTATTCTCGGTTTGCCCAATCTTGATGAATTTGTTTTTGAACTGTTTCTCTATGAGCACCGCTCATTTTAAGGTTTTATCTTAATGTATTATGGTTTTGTTTACACCTTAATTGGGGATGCTCGATATACATAAAATTTCAATCTGTTATCGATGATATTATATATTGTTCTGCTTCGATAAATGTCATATTACACACTAAAGCACTGTATTCATTATGTGGACCACGCATTTCAAATTTGTTTCGCAAACTGAGAAGCAATTTATTCTTCATCTTTCTTTATTAAATAATTCAAGAATTTTGCTGAACTTCTAGTTCAGCAAGCATTTCAAATGTTTTTAACAAATTTTTCGTACAAATTTATATGAAATAAATTAGTTAAGTCTAATTATAATATATTTTTTATAATATATATTATATAACATATTCAAACTGCGAAGCTGTCACCTTGAAGAACAGTGTCATTTCTATATATATTCCGATCATTCCTTATGAATGTATTATTTTGGTGTGCATTTGGCATCGGTGTTCTTATACATACCGTTTAACATATGTAATTTGCAATATTTGAAACTACATAATTTACGAACATATTCAAAAATGAATATATTATACTCCTGAATAAATTTGTATATCTATGTAAATGTAGTGGTGAATGTATAAATGTCCAGCTACACTTTTGGCATTTGTTCATGGGTATGGTTTGGTCACACCTAATTTGGTCCTTTGAACAGTTGTGTACTCAAACAAAGTGAAATATGTATGTAAATGTTTGTGCATTTAATTGGCTCCACTTATAGAAAAGAATAATGGTAAAATAATAGAGCATATACTTACAATACTTAACCTACTTCCAAATTATAGAGTGAATGTGCTTCTGGTATATCGTATTTTTGTTAAGGATAAATCAAAATTGGTTGTATACATTATTCCTTTAATACTTACATACATATATATACATATTTACAAACAAAGTGTTTATTATGGA